GGCTGGGTCCTCATGAGGACCCAGCCCATGAATTGAGACACAGCCATGGTTGACTAACAACATGGCGGTTGTTTGTGCTGTGTCATTAGGAGCAGGAAGACATTCAACCCATTTTGTAAATGCACAGGTCACAGTGAGAAAATATTTGTTTCCTCTGGCCGTTTTGGTGATTGGTCCAACCCAGTCGATTTGGAGGTCAGACCAAGGAAAGGCAATGCCTCTACTATGCAGAGGTGCTCGGTGAAGTGGTTTGGACGGTTGGAACTGTCCACAAACCAAACATCCTTCAACATAGCTTTTTACATCTTTTTTCATCCCTGGCCAGTAGGCAATTTGCTTTTATGCTCTAAAAGTAGCTTTAAAACCCTTATGTCCTGCGGAAGGAAGGTCATGAGCATGAACTAACATAATTAAAACAGACAAAACCATCATGTTTGGTCCTTTAGAGCCCAAACTCCTTCTGATGTCTGTGGCTCATATTGACTCTCACAAATTTGCAAATAAGATTTACCAAATGTAAAACCTCTTTATTTATGTCTTATCATCTGTCCAGGTTGGAGGTGTGTGGCAGAAAGGTGCAGTCGCCTTGATGAGAGAAGTGTTGATGAACCGCTCTGTGGACCTTCACGTTATGGTAAAGTACATTATCACATACTGAACATTCTGTCTGTATTCTGTCTGAATACGTTTTCATCAATTCATCTGTGATTGTCTGTGAAATTCTGAATATCCACAGTTACCATTGAACAAAAATGATCAAAATATATAATGCTGGACAACAGCTGTGGTTTTTTTTTATAACTCTTTTTTGTGTTTGGTAAAGAAGCTTGTGACATCTCAGGTTTGTTATTTGTGGGGTAGGAGCTGCCAGCAGACCCTCGACAGCCTCTCACAAGTGAGCTCTTTCTGGACGGCTTGAGCCTCAACCAGATTTTGTGTCACCACCAACACGCCACCATGAAGCGGTCTCCTTCACTACAGAAGGTCTTTTTCATTCATTCGTTTCTTCACATCAATCTATAATGTTGCGAAGTACTGATGAATATTTGTGCTTGTCTGCAGGCGCTGACTGTGATGCCTCCTTCACCCATCCTGGATGACTGGGATATAAACATTGAGGTACTCGAGCGCGGCTAATTGAAGAACAGCTTCATTAACTCACCTAGACACAATTATCATTTAAAGCTGAAGACCAACATCAAACCAAGTCTCTGTGCAGATGGGAAATGCATCTTTAATTTTGTCTAGCTTCTTTTATTTTTATTATTATAAACAAGAGGATGTTAACTGCATAGTTGGGGTCTTTTATAGCTTCTGAGCATAAACTTTCCTGGCTCTATAAAAATATACAGTATTAGTGGTCTGATAAGATGCAGATGGTTTAGTGATAAACTGAGCCAGCTGAATGCTCACCTAACAGCCTCCTCATTCATTGAGGAGTGTCAGGAAGCTGCATGTCCTCCCTACACTTCTCTGGACATATTTTGTTAAACTGGTATCTTTTTTTTCTCTGATTAAAAATGATTACGTCCAAAAAAAATGTATAATATAAAAGAAATTGCTGAAACACCTGTGTCAGAACTGTCCAGTCCTGGGGTCTCATTTATAAAGGATTGCGTGGAAACCATACTAAAAGTGAACGTACGGCCAAAAGGCGGAAATGGCGTACGCCAAAAA